TGATTATGTGCTACATGACAATGAAAATTCTATTCTTGTTATGCAGTGACCCTGCTGCGCTGTAGGAGAATAGTAACATCATGTTTTCCTTTGGCTTATGTATTATGAAACAGGGTGAAGTGGGGCTCAGCTGTTCCTTCTATTCCTAGGCTGCATTTTAATTTGTTTTACTCTTCCTTTGTGCACAGATACATCCCCCTCTCCCTTTTCTATTAGATGAAAATGAAAGATGGAATGAAATATAATTGTAGTATTTTTCTTTGCTGTTTCTATCCTGCCCTTCTGAAATTTGTACAACCTCCCTTTCTTCTTTGCCTCTGTGCATTGAACAGGCATGTTCCAAAGAGATGCTTACACTGCTTTCTCGTAACCGCTTTCTAGTTACCTTTTTATAAACTTCGAGTTAAGTTGTTGCATATCAGTATATGTCCATAATTCTTATCCTTTTGTCTAAATATGCTACCATACAGGTATACCTGGTGAGTTCCATCTGCTTCAATTTGCCTGATCAGCTAGTTTTGCTAGATGCCTCCTGTTTTCCCCCTTTAGTTTTGTAGAACCCAAGAAAGTTGCCACTGAGTGGATTTATTTACCTTGCAATTTGTCCTTCTATTAAAGCGGGAGCGGGTGGCGCTGTGGTCTAAACCACTGAGGCTCTTAGGCTTGCTGATCAGAAGGTTGACAGTTCAAAGTTGCTCTGTCCCAGCTCCTGCCAACCTAGCAAGTTCGAAAGCACACCAGTGCAAGTAGATAAATAGCTACCACTGCAGCGGGAAGGTAAACGGCATTTCTGTGTGCTCTGCTTTCCGTCACGGTGTCCCGTTGCGCCAGAAGCGGTTTAGTCTTGCTGGCCACGTGACCCGGAAAGCTGTCTGCGGACAAAGGCCGGCTCCCTCGGCCTGAAACGAGATGAGCACCGCAACCCCATAGTTGCCTTTGACTGGACTGAACCATCCAGGGGGTCCTTCGCCTTTACCTCTATTAAAGCAGGGCATATCTCTGTAACTTCTTATTTCTGGGTCCACGGGTTCATTTCCTTGCAAACTAGTTACTCTCTCCCCCCTGCCCTATTCTATAGTGTTCACCTCTCAGTGGCAGCTTCTGCAAAAAGAATTCCCCTTCTCCAGCATGCACGCTCCGAGACCAAATAATTTTCTACGTTGTAGTGGCTTTGGTTATTCTGGCATCCTGCTATTTTTATTGTCATTGTTTCTTGGTTTATTATTTGGTTTACTGATGTCTTACAGTTTGAAGAAGACACATAAAAATTATATTTAATGAGGCAGGATAGAAATATATTAGTTTTTTAAAAATGGGGGGGGGATAATGTTACTGCCGTCACCAGCCCAGGGATTTAATGAGCATCAGCTTTGTGGAGACATAGCCCATCTCATGGGAGTTTTAGAGAGAGTTCTTGCTGGTGTATAGGACCTGTTTCATCTGGGTTTGGGATGCCCCTGACCATAGACAGCTTGCAAGCCGATTACAGTTCAATCCAATGCATTTCCACCAGGAAGTAAGCTTTGTTGAGTTCAATCGTACTTAGGTAAATTGTACCCATAGAAATTGGTCCCAGGTAAGCATATGTACAATTATTGCAGCCTTAGTTAATTTTTAGTGCACCTGCTGGCACGTTTTGTTGCTGTGGAAGGCTTTTTTTTTTTTATTGCTGAAGAGCAAATTTACAGAGTCATACCACAAGAGAAAGTCAGTTTTCCATTTCCGTGCTTCAAGTATCTTGATTAGGCATGTCAAGGTTATCTAAAGCTTATGCATTTGAATCAAAATTAGTATAGTGGCTAAAATTGAGGTTGGGATTTGCTTCTGCTATACATCTGCCGGGTAGTTTTAGGAAACGCCCTTTTTTCTTGGCCTCAGACCCTACCCTACTGTTCATGTGGAATAATGCTTGACACTACGCTTAAAGTTCTTACAAGGCCTACAAAGTTAACCGTATTTTTCCTCTATAACACCAAATTTTTAATCCTAAAAAGGAAGGGAAATGTCCTGTGCGTTATGGAGCGGAAAGTGGTCTGGTCCCTGGAGCCAAAAAATCAAGCAAAAGTCAAAATCGCTCTTCACGGAGAAGGGAAACCTGAAAAGAGGAAGTTGGCAGCTTTCCCTGCAATTCCTGCCTCAGGGTCTTACTGCCCACCTCCTCTGTTTCGTTGCTGTGATTGCTTGAAACGGCCACAAAGAGCAGGGAAAGCCCCTCCCTCCAGGCAAGCCAGAGGGGAAAGTGTCGTCCTGTGCCCGGTACTGCTGGGGGAGAGGGAGAGAGAGTGGGGGAGGGAGAGGGAGAGAGAGAGAGAGAGAGAGAGAGAGAGAGAGAGAGAGAGAGAGATGGCTGGCTTGGGGGGGAACTTTTGCCTCCCACCCGTTAAATCCCTCTCCAGCATTCTTAGCCAGCTGCTTCTCTGCACACCCCTCTCATGTTCCTTCTTTGTTTTTCCTTCGCTCCCCACTTAAAATGTGGTTACAAAGCATAGATCAACATGGATCCTCAGGATCTTTGCATTGGGTCACCCCAAATTCACCATCAGATCACATAGCATGTCCATGGCTACAGCCTGCACCAAAAAAATCACGCACCAACTGTTGCCTGGGGCTGCAATGGTGCAAAAACGTGGTTAAAAAGCATGGATCCACATGGATCCTCAGGATCTTTGCATTGGGTCACCCCAAATTCACCATCAGATCACATAGCATGTCCATGGCTACAGCCTGCACCAAAAAAAGCACGCACCCACTGTTGCCTGGGCTGCAATGTGCAAAACGTGGTTACAAAGCATGATCCAAGGATCTAGTCTTCATTGGTCACCCAAATCACATAATACTAGCATGTCCAGCTACAGCCGACCCAAAAAATCACGCACCCACTGTTGCTTGCAATGTGCAAACTGTTACAAAGCATGATCACAGATTTCAGGATTTTGATGGGTCACCCAAATCACATCAGATCAATGTCTGTGGCACAGCATGAAGCACAAAAATGATACATCCATGTTCATTCAGCATGTTTTCCTTGTTTTCCTCTCAAAAACGATGTTGTTGTAGGTCGGTTTATAGCGAAAAAAGTAATATATGGGAGCATTTTGAACACTCCAAGCAGCCTTTGCCAAGCTGGTGCCTTCCAGGTGTTTTGTATTACAGCTCCTATCCCTGACCTTTGCCCATAATAGGCGAGGCTTGATGGGAGTTGAACGTCTGGGGAGAACCAAGTTAGTGAAGGCTGCTCTAAAGTGCAATATTAAAACTAAGCCTACCATCATCAAATAATCATAAGAAAAATAATATTCCTTGCTGTCACCTTGTTCATACAGCCTCATGTGTACCTTGACCTTCCCTTGTATAAATGCCTTTGTTATTCTAGTCTGTTTGCAACACTGGGCTCAAGAGAGAGCCTAAAGCATGTATTGATTATCCGCTTTTTAATGGCACTTTTCAAAGTCTGCACTAAAACATCCAGTGAACTGGGTTGATTTTTGATGCTATGCACAGCTACATAAACAGTGCTCTTAACAAAGCTGCCATTTCATTTTTAGGGAACCCTCCTTCAGCATTATTGTTCTTTCCACCATCATTTTTGACAAGAGATCAACAGCTCTCTGTTCTCTAATGAGCTGAATTTTTTATTACCCGTTTCTTCATTGTTTTACCCCATTTTCCTACGTACAGCTTCCTCAGAATGAGTTACAGTAACAACATGCTTTTGAAACTATATTAATTAAAGCAAAATAATTTAAAATGCTTAAAGCAAACAGAACTATCGGGGGCATCCGTTGAAAACTTTAAAGTTTTAATTTATCGTGATTTGAAAGTAAGGTTTCTGTTTTCTTCACTTGATAGCAAGTAGGCATCTAGTGGAATTAGCTTTTAGTAGTGTTGAAGCTCGCAATCTGTAAACAGAAGCCCTGCTAATAAGCAACAAATAATAATTAGTCAAATCCTCCTTGCTATACTAATCTTTCTACATAAAAAGTAAAGACAATTTCATTCAGATATCATTACTGAGGCTATGAAGCTTATTGTTTTTCCAACCAAGTACAAGGTGTACATGTAAACACTGATGGCAAGATTTTTATTTCTCTCATAAAATTTATATATTGCTTGATGGTAAAAACAAAGCAAAAGCTCAAAGCAGCTTTCCTTTCTGTATGATGATGATGATGATACTGCCTCTTCACCCAAAGTTTTCAGGGCGGTTCACAAGATAAAAAACCCAGTTTGTAACATCTTCTTGTCTGATGCACGAGTTTTTTTTACTGAAATCAGGAGAGTAAGCATATGCTTAATAATAATAATTATTTATTTATTCACGTGAAAGGTTTCTTGTGTGAAACTGTTTTGTTCAGGTGTGTGACTATGGTAGGTAGCAAAAACGGAAATATTAAATATGGCCTTCTGATAGTTTACAATAACATGTTAAATTGCAAGTGCTCTTGCGTTTAGTTCAATATTTCAAAAAGGTATCTGTGCTGAGGTTTGATGAGACATACATTAATTTAAATATAATCAAGAAATTGGGGCAGGATCGCAGATTTGCTTCCTGCTCCATCAGTCTTCCAGTTAGCATCACTTGGAGTTTATGTCACCCTGAGTGTTTCTGCATACGTTTATAGTTTACTCGTGTTTAATTAAAAGGCACTCATTGCCGCATCAATTATTTTAGGTGTTTGCTGTGGCCTTGTTGTTGACAGGAAGCGCTTGTTTCCCTGGGGTTCCTCCTTAGTGACTTTAAACTAGCACAGTGTGCTCTCTTCCTTTTCCATTGGATTGTCTGGATTTGTGCCTGGAGCACAAGGCGAGGCCTCTCTTTGATTGCCATTTGTCTTAGTTATGTTGGGATGAATTTAGACTGTGAGTTGAGGAACCTCCCTGTGGCCTTCATAGTGGAATATTTTCTTACGATTACCAAGTTGATCGTTACTCAACAACAGGTTTCCTTTACAAAGAAATCATAATTTGAATTGATTCACTTCTGTGCCTTTTTCTTTCAGGGCTTCTTCAGTAAACGGCTTAAAGGGTCAATCAAAAGAACGAAGAGCCAGTCAAAATTGGATAGGAATACCAGCTTCCGTCTTCCATCCCTTCGACCCACTGAGGACAGGTAAGAACCGTCATGGAGGGTCCCTCCTCTTCCCTTCCAGACATTTGGCAAGTTGCATTAATCTATGGATATGCTCATATTGCGTATGAAACCAGGAAGTCACACTTAGAACAAAGGTTACTTACCGTATTTTTCACTCTATAACACGCACCAGACCATAACACGCACGTAGTTTTTTAGAGGAGGAAAACAAGGAAAAAAATATTCTAAACGAAATAGTGGATATATGATTTTTGTGGTTCATGCTGTGGCCACAGACATGTGATCTGACAGTGAGTTTGGAGTAGCCTAATGCAAAAATCCTAAGGATCCATGTGGATCCATGCTTTGTAACCACAGAGGAGGGAAGGAAAGGGAACCATGGATCCTCTGCTCACGACTGCAGCAGATCCCCCCGCCATCCGTAGGCATTCCCTCCATAACACGCACAGACATTTCCCCTTACTTCTAGGAGGGAAAAAGTGAGTGTTATGGTGCAAAAAATACGGTATCTTGTTGTTTTCAAAATATTTGGCATAGGTTGCAATTCACAACCCAGTTACACTACTTACAGCCCCGTTTAAAAATCAGTGTTCTTCTTTGTAGTCTCTGCATCTGGTTTCTAAGCCTGCGCAAAGCTTCATTTATAACAGGGATCAGCAAACTTTTTCAGCAGGGGGCTGGTCCATTGTCCCTCAGACCTTGTGGGGGGGACAGACTAAATTTTTTTTGGGGGGGGGACATAAAAATGAATGAATTCCTATGCCCCACAAATAACCCAGAGATGCATTTTAAATAAAAGGACACATTCTACTCTTGTAAAAACATGCTGATTCCAGGACTGACCGCGGGCCGGGTTTAGAAGACGATTGGGCAGGATCTGGCCTCCGGGCCTTAGCTTGCCTACCCATGATTTGTAACATCTCAGAGCTGAACAGAGCTTTGGCGGGAAGCCTGACTCTGGTGCACATGCTCAATGGGTGCAGCTCCATGTTTCCATTTGGTTCCTTTCAACTACTGCAGTATTGCTTGGAATGTTTTCAGAGTGTCCTCCTCCTCTGAGGAGACTGGATTGAGTCTGGCTCCCATTTCCTCCCATTCACACCTATAGCAGTGGTCCAAGTGGCATTGCTAACTTGTTTATTTCACTTTCACTTGAGGAAACCGGTGGATCATGGACTATCAAATGATGAAGATCCCGCAGTTATTTGAATCCTGGGTATTTAAACCTTCTTTAAAGAGGGTTTAATCTTCTAAGAACTGGGAAGATCCCTTGTTCAGATAACTGCGGTATCTTCCACCTCACCTCTTATCATGGCGAGAAGAGCATGGTCAAGGACTTTCAATCCTATGGGTTTATTCTCTTCACTTCCCAAGACCATTTGGGCTGAAAATGTCACACAAATAGCAATATTGTGGCATGCTAATTTTCATTTTCTCATTGGGGCCAGTGTTGCTATTTGCAGTGGTCATAGTGTGCTGCCTCAATCAATATCATTATCTTCTTTGCTTAGAGAGCAGCAAAATAAAATCATGGTGACAGAAAAGCTTTACAGACATCTAACTGCCTTGTTAATTCTGTGATTTGTGGAAAGCCTTTCATCCGGATATGACTTTCAGTGGATAAAATTTATTCTTTAACCACTGTAATAATCATAGCAACTATAGGTTTCTCCTGATCCCCTTGTTTTGGTGTATCTTATTAGTGGACTATAGTGGTGCCCCACAAGACGAATGCCTCGCAAGACGGAAAACCCGCTAGATGAAAGGGTTTTCCGTTTTTGAGTTGCTTCGCAAGACGAATTTCCCTATGGGCTTGCTTCGCAAGACGAAACGTCTTGCTAGTCTTGCAATTTTCGCCCCCCCCCCTTTTTCTAAGCTGCTAAGCCGCTAATAGCCTTTTAGCACCTAAGCCGCTAAGCCTTTAATAGCTGCTAAACCGCTAATAGCGCTAATCCGCTAAGCCGCTAATAGGGTTGCTTCGCAAGACGAAAAAACCGCTAGACGAAGAGAATCGCGGAACGGTTTCTTTTCGTCTTGCGAGGCACCACTGTATAAAGATGGATTGCGCATGATCTATTAGGTGGGCTCTGCTGTGTTGGGTCCTAGATAGCGAGAGACTCAATCACTTTGTGGGGGACAACCAGCGTGGGGGGGGGGAGAGAGTTCAGATTTTGTAGGTAGCTTGAAAGAAAGAGCTGTGATTTGGGAGGAGCTCAAGAAAAACAATGCGTGTTTTAGGAACTGATGCCAATTTATAGATTAGCACTGCCTCAAGAAAAACAATGCGTGTTTTAGGAACTGATGCCAATTTATAGATTAGCACTGCCTGCATGGTTGCTTGTCTGTCCCCACAGGCTTAATGTCCATATGCAACAATAAACAGATACAAGAGGGAACCTGTAACGATTGATGGCAGAGGGGAGACAAAAGTTTTAAATGATTTGTTTCCCCAGCTGGGTTGGGCAAACACAGAGGCTTCTCTAAACCCACCCTCTCCCCATGACAGTTGCCTTGGAAACAAACAGAAGTTTGCCTCTGGAAATCCCAGTTTTTTCTTTCCCTCTCATTACTTCAGAGGTATGGGTTAAACCACTGTGCCGCTTGGGCTTGCTGATCAAAAGGTCAGCAGTTCGAATCCCCGCGACGGGGTGAGCTCCCATTGTTCGGTACCAGCTCCTGCCAACCTAACAGTTCAGTGCAGTGCAAGTAGATAAATAGGTACCGCTCTGGCGGGAAGGTAAATGGTGTTTCCGTGCGCTGCTCTGGTTTTGCCTCGCCACATTACCCGGAAAAACTGTCTGCAGAAGCAGACAAATGCCGGCTCCCTTGGCCTTTAAAGCGAGATGAGCGCCGCAACCCTAGAGTCGTTTGTGGCTGGACCTAATTGTCAGGGTCCCTTTACCTTTACCTTTTTACTTCAGAGGCACAATGACCAGAAGTGGGAAGGAAGACTGTGTAGACCAGGCTTCCTCAACCTCAGCCCTCCAGATGTTTTGAGACTACAATTCCCATCATCCCTGACCACTGGTCCTGCTAGCTAGGGATCATGGGAGTTGCAGGCCAAAAACATCTGGAGGGTCGAGGTTGAGGAAGTCTGGTGTAGACCAAATAACTATTTTATGGAGCTTGTAGGATAGTTTAAAGACTTAAATCCCCTGCTGTTTTTCTGCAAGTGTTAGTGGTCTCCCCAGTCAGTCGAAACCCTCTCCTTGGTTGCTCCCTTCAAATTTGGCCACGTGTCCCAAAAAATACAGGTGATATACGGCATCTTAAGTCTAGAGTGTACTCTCACCCCAAAAAAAGACTAACGCCTGTGAGCTTTCTCCCCTTTCAGAGTGACAAGGAGAACACTGTACATTTTTTTCAGAGTTAGACCTTCAGGTCAGTGTTTTGTTTTTAAAAGCCATTGCATTTAAAAGTTGATAACCTGCTTGGCTCAAAAGCCCTTTAGGACAATAGAAAAGAGGAAATCTTGAGCAGACACTTTTGTCCATATTGCAGTCTGAGCTTGTTCGAAGAATTGAGTTACCTAAATCCCAGAGAGGACGTAATATGAGAAATGACAAGCGCCCTTACCCTCCCTGCTGGCACATTCCTACATCTTTCAGGTTCCTAGTCTCCAACTACTGACACAGCTCATTGCTACAACCCATTAGCAGTGCATAGCACTTGCTTTGGTCCAAATAAATAATTGTGTTTCAGAGATACTCTTTGCCTGTTTCAGAACTTGCTTAGCCTACTGAGTTAAGGTCAGGACTGGGTCTCAAATCCTGATTCTCTCTCCCCCTCCCAACTGCTCCCCTCATTCCATCTCTGATACAACAAGGGGCCCTTTTAAATGGTTTATTACTGTATTTATTACCCACAATGAGGGAAGTAGGGGCGGGAACATGCAAGTCCACAGCCTGCTATTGAGCTCTCTTCACACAGAATCTCAACAGAGAAGTCCTATTTGAGCAGGTCATATATTTCTGTGCCTAGGTAAAGGTAAAGGTACCCCGGCCCTTACGGGCCAGTCTTGACAGACTCTAGGGTTGTGCGCTCATCTCACTCGAGAGGCCGGGAGCCAGCGCTGTCCGCAGACACTTCCGGGTCACGTGGCCAGCGTGACAAAGCTGCTCTGGCAAACCGGCACCCGAGCAGCACATGGAAACGCCGTTTACCTTCCCGCTATAAAGCGGTACCTATTTATCTACTTGCACCTAGGGGTGCTTTCGAACTGCTAGGTGGGCAGGAGCTGGGACCGAACGACGGGAGCTCACCCCGCCGCGGGGATTCGAACCGCCGACCATGCGATCGGCAAGTCCTAGGCGCTGAGGTTTTACCCACAGCGCCACCTGTGCCTAACACTATGTAAATATGTGGGGTTGATTTACATTAAGCATCTTAGTTTTCCTGAATTATTATAACAGCGATAATGAATTTTCACAATATTGAGGATTTGGGGGGGGGGGAGGCTGTAGGAAAGAGAAGAAGCAGAAATAGTTGTATTGCAGAAAACCAAACTGGAATGTAGGAGGGAAAGATAGGTAGCTTTAGTTATGGGACAGATCAGCCATACTGAGCAAGGTTCTGGAACGATTGGTCACAGACCACATCCAGCTGCTCTCGGAGGACTCTGATTTTCTAGATCCATTTCAGTCGTGGTTTGGACCTGGTTTTGGCACAGAAACTGCTTTGGTGGCCCAGTATGATGGCCTCAACCTCTCAGTGGCTTTCATTACCATCAACCATGGTATCCTTTTGCAGCAGCTGTCCGAGTTAGGGCTGGATGGCCTTGCTTGGCAGTGGTTCCAGTCCTCCTTGGTTTGTCATTCCCGGAGGGTTTTGCTTGAGGAGTGTTTTTCAGCCCCGTGGAGCCTTCAATGTGGGTTTAGGCAGGGTTTGATCCTATCCCCTCTGCTGTTCAACATGTACATGAAACCACTGAGTGGAGTTTTCTGGAGGTTTGGAGTCCGTTGTCAGCAAGATGCTGATGACACTCACCTCTACTCCTCCTTTACATCTGCAGGTGAGGC